GGCAACAAGAGTAAAACTCTGTCTTGAAAAATAAAATAAAATAAAATAAAATAAAATAAAATGTCACTCTGGTCTTGTTCTCTTCTAGCAACAAGAAGTACCTACTTGTTTGTTTGTTGCAGGAGTACCTGCATCCACCCTGGGCCCATCATCAATATAAACAGCAAGGAACTGCAGTTTTAGATTAACTACCTAGAGATGAGCAGGTCCAGATTCTGGCCTTTAAATAGGTATAAAGACATCCTCAGACATTTGTTTCTTCCCTGAAGGTAGAAATAGTGGAAGTAGCATGGTTGGAGGACATCAGGCAGAAGTGGGCTTTTACTCCAGCTGTTTCCTCATTTGTAAAATGGGGTTAATATTAAGACCTAATCTCGTGGAGCTGTGGAGTTAAAATGTTTAGCACAAGTTAGGGGATGGAACTTTGTGAACATGAAAATCATCTTTAGGATGAGGTGAGGATCATCTATCAAGGCAGGGGACCCAGAGAAGAAAGGAGGTAGACAGGACATGGGACACATAAGGGGCAAGAATCCCGTCCAGGAGTGAAGAGTCTGACAGCAGGAACTGACAGTTAAGCTTTTACCTGTTACAACACCTACGCTTCACAGAGCAGAGACAACACTCAGGCAAACAAGGGCAAGGAAGAGCCGACTCCAGGACAGCTTCCCCTCAGTTCCGAGGACAGCCTCTACTTGTCTGCTTATCTGCCCAGTGGCGTGGAGCTGCCTGGGTCCCCTGACACCTTGAGGGGTCTCCTTCCTTTACCAACACCAAGGGAGCCAATGGAAAGGGGGTCAACTCCAGACAACCCCCCACTTCCCATTCTCAACAGTGAGAGGAGCAAGTGCTTACTGACCTCTGGTTAAAGACATGGTTATAGTAGCAGAAATGCTAAGACAAACTGAATGGGGTCTTGAAATTCAAGTCCAGTTATTCCTCCAAAGAGCCATTTTAGCATGTCTTTAAATCTCTTCTCATGCTTTACCATAGTTTCTTTGGATTTTGGTGGTGAAAATGCCAAACATCAGAAAACTTGAATACATGTGTATCCAGATTTAGCAAAACCAACCTGTGTCGGTTTATATCCATTGTGAACACCGTGTGTAGCTTGTGCTTCCCCATGTGCCACTGCTCCTGGCTCATCTTAATTCATCCCTGATTTCTGGGTGTTATGAATCTTTAATCTGGCTGGCTTTCTCGGAAGTTTTAACACAGAAGTGCAAGGAAGATATGGAAATTGTTTTGGTAATTCTGGAACAAGATATTTTGAAACTCTTTTAAAAAATCATTTTAAGGCCGGGCACGGTGGCCTACGCCTGTAATCCCAGCACTTTGGGAGGCCTAGGCGGGCGGATCACGAGGTCAGGAAATCAAGACCATCCTGGCTAACACAGTGAAACCCCGTCTCTACTAAAAATACAAAATAATTAGTTGGGCATGGTGGCGGGCGCGCCTGTAGTCCCAGCTACTTGGGAGGCTGAGGCAGGAGAATGGTGTAAACCCGAGAGGCGGACCTTGCAGTGAGCAGAAATCATGCCACTGCACTCCAGCCTGGGTGACAGAGTGAGACTTCGTCTCAAAAAAGAAAAAATCATTTTAAAAACCAGATGCCTTTATGTATTCCCCTATGTAAAATGTGAAAGGTTCAGATGGTCATCAAGCCAGTGTCAAGTGGAATTGCTTACAAGTATTTGCTTTATGAGGAGAGGGGACATTATTTGGTCTGAATGTAGCAACCTTAACACACTGAGATTAGTGTCATCATCTTAATTTACAACAATAAAGATGTGCACCTGCTACAGTAATATGATGCCCAGGCAGGTCAAAGAAATGATTTAGTTGGTTTTACTTGCTTTAAGTAAACATCAAGACTAAGAAATCACACATTTGCATTTTATCAACTGCTTTGTAAAGAGGTTAAACCAACAAAATTAATTAAAATTGACAGAAATTTACTGAGCATTGATTAGGGGCAAGGAAATGGCTTACATAGGTAAGGTATTTTCCCCTTTGCCTGGCTTATCTCAGTATAACATCCTCCAGATTCATCCATGTTGTCACAAATGACAGGATTTCCTTCTTTTTTTAAGGCTGAGTAGTATTCCACTGTGTGTGTGTGTGTGTGTGTGTGTGTAAATTATCTTTGATTTTTTTTCATTATCTTTGATTTTCTGAAGTTTGAATATGATGTGCCTAGGTGCAGGTTTTGAGGGGGCTTTGGGTTGTTTTGTTTGTTTTGTGAGGAGTGGTTTTTTACATTTATCCTATCTGGGCTTCCTGGATCTGTGGTTTGGTGTATAGCATGAATTTGGGGAAGTTCCAGTCATTGCTTCAAATATTGCTTCTGTTTCTTTCTCTCTCCTCTTTTTGGTGTTCCCATTATGTGATGGTTACACCTTCTGTAGCTGTCCCATAGTTCTTGGATATTCTGGTCCCTTTTTTTCAGCCTTTTTTTCTACTAAGAAGCCAAAGGGGAAAATACCTTACCTATGTAGGAGCAAATATAAAAATAAAATCCAACTTCTTAGAAACCATGCCAACAAGAGGAGAGTGGATTTAAATATTTAGTGATGAGAGAACACACACACACACACACACACATGCACGGAATCTTATATCCTTCAAAAGTGAAGGGGAAAAAAAGACTTTCTCAGACATACAAAAATTGAGGGAATTTATGATCACTAGGCCTGCCTTTAATAGAATTCTATTAAATAAGAAATAGTGGATGGGTGCCAACACTAGCATCTACCAAACATACTGTTTTGTATTTCTTGTGATCATTTCATTCTTCTTATGAAAGCAAAATTTTATTATTGATTTATGGATTAAAGCAATAAATAAATTTTATAAAAAATGATTGTTTTATTTCCAAAGTTCATTCAGCTCAGGATGTATTTTACTTCTTGAGACTTCTTCTTTGACAACTTACAGGTTTGGTGAGATTTTTCTGTTGTTACTGATTTCTAGTTTGATTCATTTATGGTCACATATTTTATGTTTCTATTATTATTATTATTATTTTTTGAGACAGAGTCTTGCTCGGTTGCCCAGGCCGGAGTGCAGTGGCCGGATCTCATCTCACTGCAAGCTCCGCCTCCCGGGTTCACGCCATTCTCCTGCCTCAGCCTCCCGAGTAGCTGGGACTACAGGCGCCCACCACCTCGCCCGTCTAGTTTTTTTTTTGTATTTTTTTAGTAGAGACGGGGTTTCACCATGTTAGCCAGGATGGTCTCGATCTCCTGACCTCATGATCCGCCCGTCTCGGCCTCCCAAAGTGCTGGGATTACAGGCTTGAGCCACCGTGCCCGGCCTGTTCAATTATTTTAAATGTGTTAGTTTCATAACCCAAGATACGGTCTATCTTGGTGAATGTCCCATAAATGCTCAAAAAATGTGTATTACATATTGGCTGATGGGACTGTTCAGTTCTCCCACGTACTTGCTTTTTGTCTAGTGGGTTTATCCATTACTAAACAAGGGGTGAAGTCCCCAACTATAAACTGTAAACTGTAAATTGGTTTATATTTTCCTTTTAGTTCTATCAATTCTTAGATCGTATACTTTGCAGCTGTGTTATTTGGTCTGTGTTATTTGGTTAATGCACACCTGCTGTCTTTTTGTGATCGGACCTCTTCATCATTATGTGATGTACTTCTTTGTCCCTGGCAATTTTCTTTTGTCCTAAAGTTTACCTTGTCTGATAGTAATTCATCCACTCCAGCTTTCTCTGAATTAGCGTTTGCAAGGTATATCTATTTCTATCCTTTTACTCCTGGTTTATTGATTTTTACTGATAAATCATTGCTAATTTACCGGTATTTTGAGTTTCTTGTATTTAGCATTTGGTTGGGTCAGGTTTTTAAATTCACTCTCACAATCTTGGTGTGTTTAGAGCATTTACATTGAACGTAATTACTGATAAGTGAGGTTATCGGTCAGTCATTTTATTGTTTTGCTTTTTTTCCTGTTTCCCCTTACCTGTCTTCAAGCGGGTTATTTGGGCATTCTTTGGTAGTCCACTTTAATTTATCCACATTTTTAAGTGTATCTCTTCATATAGTTTTTCAGTGGTTAAAACTGCAATACACACATGCAGTTTATTGCAGTCTACTAGTATCAACATCTACCACTTGAAGTGGAATGTGGATATTTAACCACCATTTAAGTCCCTTTTACTGCCCCCACCCTGTGATGTAATTGTCTAAAATATTTCCTCTACATACACTAAGAACCACATCAATGTTGTAACTTTTACTTTAACTTTTAAATGACAAGTATATTGGATATTATACTTGTCTTCCATAACAAGTTCAGTATCTACATATCTTCTCATTGACGCAACATCCATTCATCCATGAACTTGTTAGCCATTTTTCCATCCACTATGCATTCAATGCATCCATCTGTGATCCTTGAAATTTATCTGAAACTTGTTTCTAACATACTTGAGTCTGACCATCCTCTGTGATCTATTCTCTTTCCTTTCCTTTTTAATTCATTCAGATGTTGTTTTGTAAGTGTTTACATTTATTTCAAGTAGTACTATCCCCAACTGAACCGTAAGCATCTTGGCAGTGGATTTCTATTCATTTTGTATATTTCCCCTAGGACCTGTTGTGGTGTTCTAGCATCTAAGTGATACCTAACTCTACAAATTACTACTGATTTAAAAAATAATTCAGCCACCTATGCACCCACTGGATGACGCACCAGGTTTTCCACAAAACTTCCTATACATCTAGCTCTAGCACCCCAAGACACCTGGACCCTGAGGAACCTATGACCATGAGTTGTTTTTGAAGAGCAAAAATTCTGAGGTCAAAATTCTCTAATCTAAGCGTGCTCTAAAAAAGTATTCCAAAACATTCTTAGAAAGTTTTGCCCCAAATATCAGCCACAAAATTGTCATATACTTTCATAACTCCTTTGTGTATCCATCCAACATCACACACATACCCTTGTACATAGCTAACACATTACATTCAATTACCCCATTGTAGAAGAGGAATAATCGATTTCTATATGACTTTAATAATGTTCCCTAAGTAATTAGTAATCAAGGTTTTCTTCAAATTCAAATTAACAAATATGTTTAATTAAATATACATATTTATGGATTTATATATGTATATAATCCTTCTGTAATTCAGTTTTTAACTATGAACTTTTACATGTTGGAAGCAGTGAAAGACTCAATGTCATAGTACATTTTGATAGTATTTGATAGGCTTTTTCAGATCAATTAATTTAGTTGCTTACAAATATAAATCAAGCTTGCTCTAGTTCCACAAGGACTCCACCACAGTCTTTAGGATGGAGAAAAATCACTGGTTTTCCATGTGCTCCTATTTTGACCTCTTCACTTAGACTGCGGATCTTCTTTGTTTTCAAATCCGTCACAGCTGCATTAATATTATCCACCTTAAGAAAAGGAAATACATTGAACACATTTGAGACCATAAAAATACCAACTTACAGTATCATAATATTAAAAAAAAACCTTGAGAGCTAAGGCAGTCTATCTCCTCTGCCTGTGGGCAGGACCATTCTTAAATCAACATTAAAAAAAAGCTTAAAATTTCCAGAGAAGTAAAAGAAGTTACTAAATTTTTCTAGGTAAGCAACCACAATGCTTAGAATTTTCACCATTAGTAAATGTTTCTTCTTATAATCTAAATCATGTATGATATACTTTATAATAGTTTATTCTGGCAGTACTATTAGTGAGACTGAAGACATTGATTTTGCCTGAGAACCCTGGGTTCCTCATCTATAACATGCAAATGAGGTCTAGCATATAAATTGACTACAGATTAAATGAAGTAACAGATAAAAAGCTCTCAGTACAGTTTACGGCATAATAGGTACTTAGCAAATATGAGTGTTTCCCTGATCCCCAAAACTTGCCCTGCCAAAATACCTTTGACATTATCAAGATACACATGAAAATCACTATTAAATTGCCATTAAAATGTTATTCCCATCTAAAAAAAAAAATTCAAACTTTAATGTTTTTGCAGCCTCTTCTAAGTTATTTCTATTTTCTTCATACTTATGGACACTCTAGGAGGAGCGGATGTGTCTCTCTATACTTGATGGAGATATATCTGCCTCTATCTTGGGAAGTCACCCACTTAGACTGGGAACCTAGGAAATGGATGAAAAGGTATGATATGAATGGCCACATTCCTAGGCAGTCATAAATCACTAGTTTAATTAAAATCATTAGTTTAATTTTAAAAAACACAGAAGCACAGAGACTAGTATAACACCCATGTACCTACCATTCAGATCTAATAAATATTAACATTTATACAATTTTATTTCCAAAGAGCCAAGGATTATGTACTGAATTCTAAAACCAGTCGAACAGCTAATGAGGATACTAAATGTTACATAAATAAGCTATTTCTTCATATGGCACATATTCTACTTATATTTCTGATATTTTTTAAACCTCATAGGTATATCAAAGTCACACGTGCCTAGATTCTGAACACGGCTCATTTCATGACATTTTGCACTGTAGCTGGTTAATTCTCATCTTTTTCAGAATAGAACATGACCTAGAAGCTCGTGGCAAGAGCGGCCCGACCCACTTAGTGAGGAAAATTGGTCCTCACTGATGTCAGACATTGTCAATTTTATTTTTAAATTCATATCAATATTATTAAGCTTTTTTTCTGCTATGTTAGGTAGCAGTCTTTAGTCTAGGACTAATTTTCCTCACTACCAAGCCAAAGTCCTTCTGAGTACTCTTCCCAATGTTACGGAAATTACTATGACTAGTAAGAAAAAACTATCCCCACCTCTGTGTGTGGATTATTCCCTCCAATCCTTTCAAGGGGTTCTATTTCTAGCTTCCTAACATGCGTGCAATACTCAGATGAAGACATGAAAGGTACTACAGATCTTTGGAGTTCACTCTCTGTGCAGCTCTCCTGCAGCTCTCCAGGAGACAGCTGTGAACTCTAGCACCATGGCCTCCTCAGACTTCCAACTCCTATCTCCTCAACTCAGGGAGACCACTAAGTTCCGCGTGGATTCCCCCTTCCTGTACTGCAGTCTGGAAACTCTCTACAGCCAGTAAACTGGGTAACTGTAGGGCTCATCTTGTTTGTTTACCCTCTCTCAGAAATCAACTCCTGTGCTGCCTGATGTCCAATGCCAGAAATCCATTATTTCACATATTCTGTCCAGGTTGCTTGTTTGTTTCAGGGAGGAGGATAAACTGATCTCTTTTACACCAACTTGGCCGGAATCAGAATTCTGAATTGGCAGGTTTTTTCTGTCAGCAAGTAAAAAGTGTCATTACATGTCATTCTATAATATGTCTTTTTTACTTTGATTACTTTTAAGATTTTCTCGTCATCTTTGATTTTCAATTTGACTATGGTGTGCTTAGGTGTGGCTTTCTTTTTTTCTTGAGACAGAGTCTCACTCTGTCAGCCAGGCTGGAGTGTAGTAGTGTGATCTCAGCTCACTGCAACCTCTGCCTCCAGGATTCAAGCAATTCTCCTGCCTCAACCTCCAGAGTAGCTGGGACTACAGGCACATGCCACCATGCCCAGCTAATTTTTGTATTTTTAGTAGAGACCAGTTTCACCATGTTGGCCAGGATGGTCTCCATCTCTTGACCTCGTGATCTGACTGCCTCGGCCTCCCAGCGTGAGTCACTGCACCTGGCCTTTTTTTCTTTTTTTTTTTTTTTTGAGACAGTCTCACTCTGTTACCTAGGCTGGAGTGCAATGGCACAATCTTGGCTTACTGCAGCCTCCGCCTCCTGGGTTCAAGTGATTCTCCTGCCTCAGCTCCCTGAGTAGCTAGGATTATAGGCATGAGCCACCATGCCTGGCTATTTTTGTATTTTTAGTAGAGACTGGATTTCACCATGTTGGCCAGGTCGGTCTTGAACTCCAGACCTCAAGTGATCTGCCTGACTTGGCCTCCCACAGTGCTGGGATTACAGGCGTGAATCACTGTTGCCCGGTCTGGTGTGGTTTTCTGTTTGCCCTACTTGGGGTTGCTGACTTTCTTGAAACCATAGGTTGTTTTACACCAGATTAGTAGTGTCCTTGTCAACTATTTTTTCAATTATTGCTTCTGTTCTATTTTCTCTCTCTTTCTTTTCTGGGACTTCAACTATACTCTGCTAGAACTTTTGACCATGTCCTACATCTGTTTTATGCTCTATTCTGTTTTCTTTTTCTTCCATATTTTTTACCTCTTGATTTTGGAATTCTAGTTTCTAGAACTGTGAAAAGAGTAATTTCTGTTTTAAGCCACTAAGTTCGTGATCATTTATTATAGCAGCCCTAGAAGATGAATACAACTACCACACATCATACCGAAATTGAACAATGAAGTAGATGGATAGCTGATAGTGGGAGCTAAGTTTCTCACTGTTGGAATGAGAAGATAAAGGCCAGTGTGGTCTATGTGGTAATGGATTAGAGCTGGAGACATCAGTATACACTCAGGAGTTTATGACATTTCATGAATTCTATAATATAGTTATATATAGAAATGTGTATAGATATGTGTATATACACAGTATACACACATATATCTCCCTGCTGTGCTGGCTCAGTACAATGACCCCCCTAGTAGCAATAAGCACAAACCTAGATCTTGGCTTCTAATACCATTCTCCAATAGTAGGAACCAGGGCTCCTAGATAAAATGGCTAATTACATGGCTAGGGCAAAGAGTAAAGACGAATTTGGAGCATCTTATATAGAAGATGAATTTGGAGCATCTTAGAGTGCCAGAAAAAGAAAGGAAGTGCTTAAAAAACAAACACAAAACCAAAAATGATGGGGGTATGTCAAAGGGACACATGAATCAACTGAAAGAGCTCCTAATGGCCAAAGCTGGAACAATCTGAGGGGAAAAAAAAAAGTAGTATTAGATTGTAATGCAAGTCATAAAATAAATATCCACAAGTCCATACTGATATAACTCTCCATTCCTTAAGTGTGGGCCTTGCATAATGACTTCCTTCCAAAAGAGGATAATATGGAGAAGGGGGAAAAAAGAACAGCTTTCCAGTGGAGAAAGCTGACAACACCTCCTCACCTGGGAGATCAAGATTAATATCAACAGGAGTAAGTCATGTTGATAGCATGAATCCTTGATATGATGTGATGAGAATGGCACTTTACCTCTATGGTCTTTCTCCCCAAAATCAATAACATGAGTCTCTTAAGAAAAATATCACACAAATCTCAACTAAACGACAGTTTACAAAATAACTGACCAGTAATCTTCAAAAGTGTCAAGGTCATCAGAAACAAGGAAAGGAGATCCTAGAAAAAGGTGAGAAAACAAAACAAAACAAAAAACCAAGGTAAGTTTGAGAAACTGCCACATGCGAGAGAAGCCTCAGCAGATATGATGACTAAATGTGATGTGCTAGGGATGGAGGAGTAGGGGAAGGGAGAGCATCAGGATACATAGCAAATGCATACAAGGCTTAATATCTAGGTAATGCATTGGCAGGTGCAGCAAACCACCATGGCATACGTTTACCTATGTAACAAACCAGGATGTCCTACACATGTATCCTGGAACTTAAAATAAAATTAAAAAAATAAAAATAAATGTGATGAGAAATCCTAGATGGGATCCTGGAATAGAAAAGGGACACTGGGTAAGAACTAAAGGAATCAGAATAAAGTACAGACTTTAGCTAATAACAATGAATCGGTATTGGTTCACTAATTGTGGTAAATGTATCAAACTATAATAAGATGTTCATAATTTTTTTTAAAGAGTCTGAAGAGATTAACCACCATTTATAATGACTGGATCTTGTTTTTATCCTGATTAGAACAAATCAACTATAAAAAAAATTTGTAAATCAATCTGGGAAATTTAATTTATGAGCTGTGTATAGATGGTTCCAAAAGATTTACCTTTAATTTTGACTGAAGTACCAGAAAATAAAGATGATAATGTCACCGTGGTTATTTTTGTATTTCTTAGAGATTCAAACTGAATAAGGGTAAAATGACATGCTGTTCATTTAAAATAATCTAAGGAAAAGAAAAAAGATGATGTGTAGCAAGAGCTTGAACACTGTTGAACCTGGGTGATGAGACTACTGATATGATTTTTTTTCTGCTTCTCCTAAGTTTGAACGATTTCATAAGAGAACTCCTAATGCTTTGTTTGGCAGTGAACCTGCACGTTCTGCACATGTATCCCAGAACTTAAAGTATTAAGGGTGTTGGGACCCTGGGCCGGGCGCGATGGCTCACACCTGTAATCCCAGCACTTTGGGAGGCCCAAACACCCTGCTTTAGGCCAGTCTGGTTCTCCCTATCAACATAAATGACTCTTCTGCTCTGTCCTACCTGAAGTCTTCAGGAAAGGAAGGAATGGGGAGGAGTCATAGATACTATGACATATTGTATGTC